GAGTTATTTCTGCTTATGTCTGCGTTGTTTTAGCAGGTCGCGAGTTATTTTAACCTGTTCTGGGAAGGATTTGCAGTTCGCCCAGTTATGTCTTGCTACTGTATGGTGATACGGGCACGAAGTACAGTCCGCGGCGATATGGCCGTACCTTGTACAATTAAAACATTGCTCTGGACTTGGTAACCATCTCGTTATTGCGGGCTTGCTGCTGGATGGACGAGGTGCCGTGTATTGTCTGTGTAAAGTATGCTGTCGGTTGGTGATGGGTCTTTGTGTATTATAGTGTGTTGTGGCGTGCTGATTGTTGTGTCGTTGAACTGGTCCGGGTGTTGTGTTGTGTATTGGGGGTTGCGGGTTCAGGCCTGTTTGTTGAGTTGGTCGGGTGTCTTGTTGTATGTCGTATTTGTGTGTGTGTTCGTTCTGTGTCACAACGCCTGCATGTACGGCTGCCGTAGGTGACTTTTCTTTAACCGATTTCGCGAATTCGCCGGGAAGAGCATAAATGGAGACTGATTCACAGGACCTCCAGACCTTTTCCCTAACCGCCAATGGCAGGGACGAGGCCAGGATTCCCTTGGTGAAGTACGTCATCCACGGACCATAGTTTCCCCTCAAATCTTTTCTAATAGGGCAGGGCTCGTTCGACGGTATGGACTGCACCCATTTCCAAATCGCAATTTGGAGCTTATTACAGTAAGCCCGCACATCCTGTTCGGACAACGACGCTGGCTTCATTGCAATAAGGGCTGCGAATTGCAAGTGATGACCGGAAGGATGCTTGGAAGACCGACTTAAATCTTTCCCAATTGCATAAGGCCAAGGGAGCAGTCTTGAACGTGTCCAGGGCGTTACGTACATCAGGGATGGTAAGGTCTAGTCTACACTCAGCACTTATAACGCAATGTTCATTAAATTTCGGGTCGGTGTCGGGAACTCCACTTTGTCGTACCGATATTTCAACATCCCTTAAGAAATTTTCAACGGGCATAGAGGTTCCATCGAATTTCGTCAACACATTGAAGGTTTGGTGAGGGTGGTATTGCGCCATGGTAGTGTTTGCGTGGGAGGATGGGTGGGTGTTGGAGGATGGAGGGAGAATGGAGGATG